TTCTACTCTCTTCTTCTCTCCTCTTCCTCCTCCTCCTCCTCCTCCTCCTCCTCCTCCTCCTCCTCTCCTCCTCCTCCCCGCCCCCTCTTTTGCCTCTCTTCCCCCATATTCTTCATTCTTGTTTCTTCTCCTGTCAACGTCTCCATATCCTCCCTCCGCTCCTTCCCCCACGTCTTTCATACACTCGTCTACACCCGCAAAAACACACGATCATTGAAGCTGTATTTGGGGCAACTTTCAGCCTAGATACAGCGATAATGATGACCGTGCATTCTATTCGGCTGAAAGATGGTACCTGCTCGCTAGACCACACTACCACCACCCAAGAACGAGAGTCCATTGCCTACAGAAAACAAAACAAAATGTAATCAAAAAAAAAAAGAAAAAAAAAAGAAAGGGCAAACAAATCAAATGACACACCCCGTCTTTTTTCTAACCAAACCTCACAGTGGCAAGAGAAAAAGAAAGGGCAAAAAAAAAAAAAAAAAAAAAAGAGAAAGGGCAAACAAAAAAAAAAAAAAAAAGAGAGAGAAAGGGCAAACAAATCCAATGACACACCCCATCTTCTTTTCTTTTCTTCAGCAATTAGTTTTTTTCCTTCCTTTTTTCTCATATACATATAGTCAAACAGAGCTGCCCGGTAAACCGTAGGCAGAGAGGGATAGAGATATCTATCTTCAAACAGAGATATATCGACAAATATATCGTCACACCGTCTATCGGAGCGCAAAGACGAAAAAAAAAAAAAAACAGAAAAAGGAAAGAAAGCTCCGCCTGTTCATCACCTCTTACGTAACAAGGCCGGCCACGTGGATGTAGGTTGAGCGACGGCTGCCCCCACCCCCGTGTGTCATATCGACCCTATATATATATTGTCACATTGTGAATCAGAGCGCAAAAAAGGGAAAAGAAAAAAGGAAAAGGAAAAAAGGGAAAGGGAAGGAGGTAAGGAAAGCTCCACCTGTTCATAACCTCTTACGTACAAGGCCAGCCACGTGGATGACAGGTTAAGCGCCTACATATATATATATATGCTATATATCGACCCATATATATATATATATATATATATATCGTCACAAACAGAACTTCCCGGTAAACCGTAGGCAGAGAGAGAGAAGAGGACAACAAACGAGGGGCTGTGACAAACTGTTTCGTCGGAGTTTCACCGACTCATCAGGAGGCT